ATTAACCTCTTTTAACTTCAAATTACCCTTTTTCATTCAAATTATCGCTTTTTAATTTCAAATTAACTCTTTTTTAAATTCAAATTAACATTTTTTTATCTTCAAATTACCCGTTTTTTCTTTCAAATTATCACTTTTCAATTTCAAATTAAGCTTTTTTAAATTCAAATTAACCTCTTTTAACTTGAAATTACCCTTTTTTCATTCAAATTATCGCTATTTAATTTCAAATTAACTCTTTTCTAAATTCAAATTAACATTTTTTTTACATCAAATTACCCGTTTTTTCTTTCAAATTATCACTTTTTAATTTCAAATTAAGCTTTTTTTAAATTCAAATTAACCTCTTTTAACTTCAAATTACCCTTTTTTCATTCAAATGATCGCTTTTTAATTTCAAATTAACTCTTTTCTAAATTCAAATTAACATTTTTCTTTACATCAAATTACCCTTTTTTCATTCAAATTATCTCTTTTTAATTTCAAATTAACCCTTTTTTGTTAACGAAATTCACGAACCCCTACAACTTTCCCTTCCTCCCTTAATATTTTCTTCCAGAAACAGGCCATCTATAACCGCCAGAAAGCCAAAAGTCCTGGTTACGGTATAATTATTCCAAAAATATTATTGCTACTCCTAAAAAAGCGATAATTTTCATAATGTATCTCTTTAGCAGTGTCTTTCGCACTACCCATTTCCAGATTATCTGGAAATTCCTTTCAATAAAGGTTATTCCTAAACCAAACAATCCCATTCACCTTCCTATTAAATACAGACCAATCATCCGTTTACATAACCGGGAATATTCTCGAAAAACTACTATTGCTCCGCCTTTACAACAAAATCCCATCCCATATTATCCCTAATCACAAATTCGTTTTTCGAGTTGCTACACGATTATCCATCAAGCTCATCGCGTTGTAGACACCATCGCCACTGCCCTCGAGCTGAAAACAGTACTGCCCCTGGTGTCTTCCATGGCATATCTCAGGCATTTGATAGGGTATGGCACCCTGGGCTTTTGTGGAAGCTCAAGGGCATCCTACTATCTACTCTATCTATTCCTGATAATAAAATCACACCTTACAGACCACTTCCTCACTTCCAAACTGCCCAAAACACTTTTTACTATTTCATTTACCCTATTCTGGTCGGTGTTCCACAGGGGAGCGAGTACGCTCTCCTCCTCTACACCTTCTGCACGGCTGACCCACGACCCTCTAACACCTTGTTACACCTTCACATAATTTACATTAAAAAATGAGTTACACACACTCCGTCAATGGAGAGAGAAGGTTAATGAAACTAAACTAAGTACATTGTTTTCACTCTTAACAAAAAATTCTCCCTCCGTTATATTTCATCTTTCCATTTCCGTTGCGAATCACGTACGATACCTTGGACTGTACCTCGACAAACAACTTACGTGCAATCCCATGGTATGGTGGAAAGGATGCTAGGAAGCGGGGTTTGTATTCCCCAGGCACTGCAACCTTCTGGATTATTGTACCTTTCTAGTTCCTTAGTTCAGTCAATAGACTCAATCCTTCTTCTTAGAAGTATCAGGTCATTGGCTGTTGCTGCTGCAATTTGATTCCCTAAGTCTTTTCCGTACGTTAGGTTAAACCTCCATTGAGCTGTTGCTTCGCATTCGAAGATGATATGAGTGGCTGTTTCCTCCTCCTCATTACACAATCTGCAAATGGGGTCATCGCTGTATATGCCCATGTTGTGTAGATGTGTTCTGAGATACCAGTGACCGGTTAATAGTCCTACCACTCCTCTGAGTTTGGCCTTCTCCAATTGTAGCAGTGTTTTTGCCAGTCTCGGTGAGGGTTGTTTCATCATACGTTTACTATGTCTAGCACCGCTAGAGTTCATCCATTTTTCCTTTTGTTTTGCTTGGATCCATTCTGCGATGGAGGATTCGATATTTGTTTTTGTTATCCCAAAGATAGGTTCGGGGCCTATGTATGGCCTTGCAGATCCTCCTCTGGCCAATCTGTCTGCTTTCTCGTTACCCAAAATTCCCCTGTGCCCTGGCACCCAAGATATCATCAGGTTGTTACGTTTCACCAGGTTTTGGAGATTTTGGATGCATTCACTGACTAGTTTTGATGTGATTCTTTTACATGCTAATACTTTAATAGCTGCTTGGCTGTCTGATCTTATGAGAATTTTTTTGTCAGTGTAACCTCTTTTAAGATTTTCCAGGGCACACGCATTGATGACATGTATTTCCGCTTGAAAGACCGAAGTGTACTTCCCTAATGAGTTTGATTGCTCATATTTTGGACTTGTACAGAAAACGCCTGATCCGGTTCCTTCGTTTATTTTGGAGCCATCTGTGTACCATATCATTGTATCTGATGCTCTCCTGTGTTCTTCCTCTCCTTTATAGTCCGTTGAGACTTTATAGAAAGTTGTGAAGATTGTTTCCGGGATCATGTAATCAGTCCCCATTTCTAATAATGGGTGTCTGATTTTGTTGATTATGGTTGTACGCCCGAATTGTTTAGTTCCTTTCCAATTTAATTGTTTCTGGAGCCTAAATGAGCTTTTCCTAGCGTCTCTTTGTATAAATATTTCCAGTGGAGGTAGGTTTATCCAAGTTTCTAATGCGTTTGTAGGGTTTGTTCTCATCGCCCCTATGATACATAGGTTTGCAAGTCTTTCTATTCTGCCTAATGTTTGGGTAGCTACTTTTTGTTGAGCTTTGTTCCACCAGATTAGTGATCCATAGGTTATTCTGGGTCTTATTACTGCCGTGTATAGCCGATAGGCCATTTTCGGTTTTAGTCCCCAAGATTTGCCTAAGGTCCTTCTTGTAGTCATTAGCGAGTGCATCCCATAGGAGAATTCAACATAAAAATTTAAATACATGATTCAGACTGCTAAAAACTTGACAAGCGATCCAAACTTACAGTAACAAACCAAAAATGACTAAACATTGCCCTTCTAGCCCCACTATGGACATACGGACTTGAACTGTACTGAAACTCCAATCTTAACAGACTAGAAACCATCCAATCTAAAAAATTTCGAACAATAGTTAATGCCCCTTTTATGTATCCAACCATACAATTCATAACCACTTAAAAATCCCAATTTCGCTACAAAGATTATCATTCTAAATTACCCAATCCGCGAATTGCCATCATCAACATTACCAGCCAATCCTCGACGAACACTGAAGCGACATTGGCCACGCGACAACTTAGTTGCCTAACATCGGCAAAGGATAGTTTCCAAGTGATCTCCACCCCGTTGGTGAACTAACGGCTCCCATCATATTAATATCTGTATCCAGCTTTCCATTTGTCAGTGGATGTTGATTTCAAACTTTACTCGATTCACAAGACTAAAAACACGCTCAAAAGCCAAAAAGTGTTCTTTATAGCTTCTCTCATACACTACAAATCCCTTATTAGACATTTAAATCCGCCTTATTAAATTTAACTGAACCACGAACGAACGAACGATTCTTCAACTTGATCAAATAAATATTCGGCCGGTCTCGGAAAAGTGGTAAATTCTAATCTCTGAAGAATTGCTTTTACCCTCGGCTTCAATTATATCCTCAGAGACGCTCAATGATGAGAAATTGCAGGTTGAAAGCCAATAAACGGAACTGCGGAGCTCTTTTTAGAAGCATCAACCTGCCCCCCTTATTCACACTCCCTTCCTATCTCCTCGACAACTGAACGCCAAAAAAAATTAAAATATTTGAAAAATAATAACCACAATTTTAACGAGTTAGTAACAATATAATCCTCCTGGAATATATGAAATTTCATTTCAGAATACAATATAATGTTTATTTTCTTCTATTTCTATTTATTTTTAAACTATTTAAATTTGTACTTATTATTAGTACAAATAATAATAATAGTTATTTAAATAATTTATTTGTGTTCTATGGCATACCTTCGAACCGTCTGCCGATAGAAGGAACTGGATTTTTTTAAATAAATTAGTAATAATAGGTAGGCCATCATAACTTGGAAAATTGATGGTTTCAACTGACTTCGGCCGTCTTCAATAGATGGCGAATACAGTTTACTCTGGCATCCCACGACAGTGCCTCCTCTGGCATCTGTTGGATTCAGTCTATACTACACATTTTCAATGTAACAGTGCCTAAATTGAAGATAGATTAAAACAAAAAGAAAATCAAAATTGAAACTTCTTGACAACAGAAATTAAACATCCCTCCCACCCGGACATCCCCTAATTTTGCGTTGCGTTTATGACGTGAAATTGAACTAATGAAACTATAAAAAGGAGTTCTATATTTTGTTTATTTATCGACATAAATTTCAACGTCGATGTTTAAACCTATTAAAGGCAACATGTTAAATTTTAATCTATTAAAGCCTCAATATTTTGCTATTATTCTTTTACTAGACAACCTATTGCAAAGATGTTTAATTACCTTTCTCCCAAGACGATAAAAAATAAAGTTGTAAAATCAAAATAGAAATAGACCATGTTTTTTTTATTATTTCGATAATTAAAAACCATTCACCTAGGAGTGAGAAATAGACCAAAAATATTTAATTTTTATACGTAAATTAAGAAATCACATTTTCCTTAGAGAGAAAATAGGCTGATTAATAAACATGCAAAAAAATAAAAAAAATACACTTTTAAAATAATTATCTGAAGATCGTGAGGTGCGGTCTGTTGTGACGTAGGTTTTAGAAAAACATTTTCTTTATCATGCCAACGTTTCGATCTTATTGAGATCATCTTCAGGGCTCAAAGTGTTTATTTTCTGCGTAGATGTGTAATTCTTGTGGGTCTGGTTGAGAGTGCTCTGAAGATGATCTCAATAAAGATCGAAACGTTAGCATGATAAAGAAAATGTTTTGTTTTAAACCTACGTCACACCAGACCGCACCTCGCGATCCCAAATAATCATTGGCTAACGGTCAATAAACACCACACACTTTTAAGAATTAAATTTTTTTCAATGTTTTCGACATATTTAATTCACCTGTTTCAATAAGGGCGCTTGTTGCTACAACCAGTATCGTTGCTGTTTTGAGTAAAGCCAAGCCTGACGGAGTCATATCTGAAAATATAATAATTATTAATATACAACACGAATGGAACGATGGCCTAGGCTCTAATTATATTTTTCTTTTTCACACAAAAAAAATGCGTTTTGTGACACTCGTGCACTTAAAACCAACCTCCATTCTTTAATTACATCGGTTAAAAAATCCATAAGGGAGGAGTTGGTGGCAAGAGCCATGATGTACATTACATTACACACTATACAGGGAACTAAATCCGAATATAAAGTGTGCAAGTTTAACTGGAAAAAACAATCAAAATTTAGATCCTCGATCAATCAGATGGTTGGTGAAGTTAAGTGGCGAGTTGCTTAACCTGAACTACAAACCGTACCAAGCTTCTGAATGAGAAGGAATGCCGTCTTTGTAAGTTGAACGTAACGGAGGACATTTTCCATTTTACAGCGGTTTGCCATAATCTTTCCTTCGAGTCAGCGTATTGACAAGAAAAGAATTTTAAAGTTTGTTGGATGGATCCAATTGGGCTGCATTGGCCGAAAACATCAGGACAGCCTGGATATATAGGAAGGATTATATTGAATGATAACATTGTTTTTTCCTATCTATTGTTTGACGTTATTATTATTTTTTAGTTCTTTTTTATTCATATGTGTATACTTATTTCCCTTCCTACTTTTATTCTTGTTTATCCTTATTTCTTTTACTTAATCTGTTTTTATTGGGTTTATGGCACTTAACTAATTAATTATATTAGTTTCTATTTAGTTATTTATTTTATTTCTAGAAAATTCGTACTTTTGTTAACCATTTACAATAATTTATAATCAGAGAGGTTTATATTATTTTGCAGTGTATAAAATTATTTATTTATTTTATTTATATATTTGATTTAATTATGTTATTATTGCTAATATTATCATCATTATTAAAATTATTACATGTTCTCACCACCTTCCGGCAGACGAAGAATCCATGCCGTATTGTTTATTTTTTATTGAATATATTTATGTTCACTTTATTGTAATATTGCTTATAAATTTAATTATTATTTTATTATTATTAACTTATTATTATTACTCTTTTTCGGTTTCTCTCTCTCCTCTCTCTCTCTCTCTCTCTCTCTCTCTCTCTCTCTCTTTCCCTTTCTCTCTATCTAACAATCTACCTATCTATATATTTCTGCCAGGCTCTCTTTCTTTTCTCTCTCTCTCTAACTATTTACCTAATTACCTATCCATCTACTTATCTTTCGATTTATCTCTCTGTCAATCACTTTATTTTTTGATCTACATCTCCTTCACTTTATTTTTCTTTGACAATCTTTGTCTCTATTTATGTGACTGTCTAATGTCTCTCTCTCCTCTTTCACTATTTCTTACTTTCTCCTATCTGTATATCTGTTTTTCTTTTTTCGTTCTCTGACGCTCTTTGTCCCCTTCTTTTTCCGGGTCTTTCATTTCTCTTCTATCCTTTTCTCACTCTACAACTGCTTATCAGCAAACTGACTCAAAACATATTTACTTGTCATTTACTTACATACCGCCGACTTGTCAGTTGCAGTTACGATAAGTTGAATGCATTAGTAGCGATATTTCTCAATGGAATTGTATGTAAAAACGTCGAGACAATCAATTGAGTAATATTTATTACGGCTGGTCTTTGAATATGCAAATGGTTTTAAAAAACCTTAGACTATTGTTTTCATTGAATTGAATAACCAGTTAGCAAACGGTGTACTTCAATTACGAGACCACTTCTAATGGATATAAATGTCAGACGAATCCGTGATGATAATGGATATGGCGAAAGAGCAATTATAATTTTCTATTATGAGCCGGCTAGGCGTGACGGTAAAATTTATTCTACATCTGATGCGAGCATTTTTAAGTGTCCATCAGAGCGTGTAGACGGAACGTGGGGAATCAAGAGCTTTCATTTTTAATATTAGCTTTTGCAAACACTTCAGATATCATATTCAGAGGAGTGATGAACCTTTAGTTCTGTACACTTTTGAAAAGGGTTGCCTGACGATTCCGGCGAGATTTTGATACCTTTCTGCATTTTGGAACTAAATCACACGGTTTTATTTCTATTAAATGCGATTACATTCCTAATTGCTCCTCTGAAGTTAGATTTTTGAGTTTTGTTCACAGACCCCATTACATTCTTTTTATAATGGTACGTTTTCTTCTTTCAAATGAAGCCCATTAAAAGTGAAGTGTAAGAAAAACTCTCACGTTTTATTTGGAATTATTCTGATATTAGCTCACCTTTCTTATGTTTTTTCCATGGACGAAAGTAACCCACTTTCTTCCTTTTTTTTAGTTTTTGGGCTGGCAAACTACATTGGCAAACCTGTCCTTTCTTTCTTAAGTTCGTTTCATTTTTTATCTTTCTGTTAATTAATTTCACAATTTCTCTTAATGCTAGAGCAGCGGCGTATCTAGCCGAGGATCGTGGGTTCGAATCCCGCTCGTGCCATTGACTTTTTTATCTCAACTAAAAACCTTAATTAATTGTAATTTATGTAAAGTATTGGTTGAAATGATCCTGATTACACGACATTTGAAAATGGCAAAAAGGAGGGAAAATTCGAAAGGTACGTTGAGATGGGGTGTTGGTATCCGAGTGATTCGAAGTCACGATAGCTCAAGTGTTAGAGCAGCGGCGTATTTAGCCGAAGATCGTGGGTTCGAATCCCGCTCGTGACGCTAACTTTTTCATTTTAACCAATACCTTACATAAAGATTAGCTGATAAATTACATTCACACATTCTATTTCATTACCCCAAAGTACTCAATATTCCTCGGCCTAATTGGGGACAAGCCCCTTCGTTCACACTAATAATTTAAATTATTAAATTATTAGTGTCATTTATTTTCATCACCACATTGAACTCGATATTCGGGGTAATTGGGGGATAAGCCACTTCATTCACACTAATAAATTACAATCATACACCATAAACCATGTACACTACCCAGATTACCCCCACATCCCTCGGGAGATGAGCCCTCATTCATGCTAATAAATAACTTTCATACGTTCATTCACCCTAAAGTATTCGATATTTCCTCGAGATAATTGGGAGATCGGCCTTCCATTCACGCAAATAAATACATTCATTCTAATAAATAACACGTATCGCATGTATAAGAGATGTACTTGCAATGAAAAAAATTGATGGCCCTGAGGTCCAATGAACCTGTGACCTCAAGGTCGCGTTTTGCTCTAATCTCAAAAGTAATGCCACCAGTTGAGAAAAGGCAGTTATTTAATGACAGACTGAGTTTTTTTATTTGCGATTTTATACGACGTAATTTTTATTGATGGTTCGTCCAATCCAGCGAGTGCAAGCGGGCCAAAATGATCTGCAATGTCTAAATTACAATAAAATAAAAACGTACGATAAGTACTATCCGAAAATTTCTCTTAAGGGTAGTATTTTTTATGCGACAAACATTTTGACTGTGCACATCCCATTTTTTGCGTATGATATCCCCACTAGAACATGGAATTCCAACAACAACAACAAATTTGTCAAAAATTACTTATTTTATTTTTTATTCAGAAATTTTGTAAACAAATGAGCTTGAATTCCGTGATATTACGGTAATTAATCCGTTAACACAACATCAAAAAATTGGAACCGCACAGAAATAAATTTGGACTATTTTGGCGTGGAATGTGGCGTATTCCGCCGGATAAACTTACTGCAGAGAGCTTACAAAATTTAGGATGGCTGTAATAATAGCAAAGAAAACGTTTAATTTTATGTTCATTTTAATTTGTATTCTGATGCATTAAAGCAAGACATATCTTTCTTCAATCGGTTTCTTCTTCAAGGAGCAGATTTTTCTAACAACACTGCGCAATTTTTCTTGTCAGCATTTACCAAAATTATCCTGATTCGTATGCATTATGGAAAAATATAATAAGCAATTAATAAACTGATCGCACCGACGTCACTTTGATCTGCCAAATACGAATTATATTTTTTCGAGTAATTACATTTTTTAACTTCAATTTAACCGTTTTAACTTCAATATAACAGTTTTAAAATTCCAATTAGCCTCTTCTTTAAAGCATTAAAAAAACTTAAGAACTTATATGATTATATTACTTTGCATTCGACTTCAGTTTCTACAATACGTGGTTGCCAACTGAGCTTTTCACCAAAGGTTATGCCGAAGAATCGTATTTACTACACATACAAGAGAGGGGCTAGTTGCCAATACTAAAGGAGGGAGGATTGTGCTCCTCAGAAGTGAACTGCCCCCGTCTGTCCCGCAGAGAAATCGAATCCTATTTGCTCGGCGTTGGCAACCATTCTGTCGATTGCGGTCTGCAAACTTTTTCCCACTTCTTCTAGATCTTTTCCGCGCCCAAATTTAGCTCATCGTCGAAGTGCAGCGAGACCATGGTGCTCAATACCATTGACGATGCCGTTAACCGCAATCGCGACCATGGAACAATACGGATCCATGTGGTATTCCATTTTTTTATCCTTTCAGATAATATGTTTCCTAATCTAAACCTGAATTTCCGATTTTTGAGGAAACCTCCGGTTCCGCGGAAGTGCCTCAGACCGAACTCGCGACATTTCCGAAGGATACCGTACCACCATGTCCTGTCAAAGTTCTTCTCAAGGTCAAAGAACACGGCCTCCCCATGTTCTCTGTTGCAAAAGGTGGCCAATTCGCCCTCGAGAAGGGGTGGTCGACGTAGGCATATCCTCTTCGAAATCATGCCTGATGGCTCCAAAATAATTCTCGGTGCTCTACAATCCACATCAGCCTTTTATTTATTATCGACTCCAGGACCTTGCCCATGCAGGTGCTTGATAGTTTATTGGGTCTTCTCTAACTATGAGGATTGCTATTACGATGGCTTCTTTCCACTGTTCGGGGTATTTTCCGGCATCCCAGATCTCGTTGTACCGATCAAGGAGTCTAAGCCTCAAATGCCAAGAATAATTATATAATATAATTTCATTATGTATACATATATACAAATAATGTCTTGTACATACGT